TCCCGCGCCCTCCTCCTTCCCGCTCCCCTTTTTCCCCGTGTTTTTACCACTTCGCCTGTTTTTTTCCCCGAACTCTTTGCCCCCCCCGCCCCAAAACCACATTTATTTTTAGCAGCCAATTGAAGATGAAGGAGGAGGGAAAAAAAATATTAAAAAAAGAGGAGAAAAAAAAAAAAAAAGGAAAAAAACCGGGATTTTGTCCCGGCTGGAGTCGGAGTCACCTTTGAGCTGCAGCACGGCCATGTGGGGGGTGGGGGGCCAGGGGGTGCTCCCGGCGTTGCTCCTGCTTCCAGGTAACAGACCCCCCCCCCCCCAAAATTGGGCAGTTTCGGGGTGTTTCGGAGTGTTTTGGGGTGAAATCGAGGGGTTTAGGGGCTGCTGGAGGCGGGGGGGAGGGCGCGGAGCCGGGTGCTCATTAACCCGAGCGCAGCCAAGCGCGGTTCGCCCCCCGCGCTGAGTGTCCGGGGGGGGATTTTGGGGTAAAACAGGCGGGTTTTGGTCATTCCAATACGTTTTGGGGTTTTTTTATTGTTTTTTTGAGGGAGGGTACCCCCTAAATCCCCCTGGATTTGGGGCGGGTGAGGGTGGGAAGGAGAACCCGCAAGAGGAACTAAAAGCCGACTTTGATGGAAAATCTTTACATTTCTGAGGGGGAAAAAAAAAAAGGCAAAAAAACCCCAGGGGGTTTCCAGCCCCAGCGCGGGGGGGGGTCGGGGCAGGTTCAAACCCCCCCCTTCCAGCGGGGGCCCCCCCCGCTCCCCACCGCGGGGGGAAACTGAGGCACGGGGGGCTTAATTTGGGGGGCTGGGGGCTCTGCCCGTGGGGGAGGGAATTCCCCCCCATCAGACACCCCGATCATCCCCCCTGGGGTTGGCGCTGGATGGGGAAGGTCCGTGTGTGCCCCCCACCCCTCTGAGAACCCCCCCGTGTCCCCCCCCAGGGCTCTGCGCGGGGTTCAACCTCGACGTGGAGAACCCGCGGGTGTTCCGGGGCCCCCCCGAGTCCCAGTTCGGGTACCGGGTGCTGCAGCGGGGGGGCGACGGCGACAGAGGGTGAGTGACCCGCGTGGGGAGGGGGGGGACAGGGGCAGCGGGGTTCAAGAAGCTCCAACACCCCCCCGACAGCCCGCGGGGAAGGGGAGGCGGAGACGGGGAAACCGAGGCAGGAAAGGGGGGGACGGAGGTGGGGAGGGGAAGGGGGGCTGGGGTGGGGAAGGGGAAGCTGAGGCGGGCAGAGAGGGGCCGGAGCAGCCACGACCGGGCAACCGGACAGACAGACAGACAGACGGAAGCGGGGGCGGCAGGACCTGGCGCGGTGCCCCCAAAAGGCGCTGACAGGGTCAGAGCGGGACGAGGGGGGACCCCGTGTCCCCTCCCCGTGTCCCCTCCCCGTGTCCCCTCCCCGTGTCCCTCTTTGCGACCGTGTCCTCGTGTCCTCCCCGCGTCCCCCCAGGCTGCTGGTGGGGGCCCCGTGGGATGGGGACGGTCAAGGCGACGTCTACAAGTGCGGCGTGGGACCCCAAAACTCCTCCTGCGCCAAGGCCAACCTCGGTATTGGGGAGGGGGGGGGGG